GTGTGTGTGTGTGCGTGCGCGCGCTAGCAAGCAATAAAATTCTTTCCATAATTCCAAATAAACTATAAGTTTATAATTCCTAGACCCTCTACAATTTTCAATAGGCTATAGCCCTCTTGAAGATATATTTAGATGAACTGACCATGGCAAGTCCAATCCATTTCACCATCATTCGCCAAAAAATGGCCAAAAATAAAATGAAAATAATTTGAAAAGTGAGTCTTAACTCGTGACTTCTATAAAAATGGCTAAATCCTTATTGATAGACCAACTAAATGTTACAATATTATTACAATAATTCTGCCAAGATAACCACAAGGTTAAAATAAATAAATTCAGGATAAATAAAAAGTTGTCTGCAATATTTTGGATTTCTAAGAATTTTGAATTGTCGTCATGGATTAAAAAAAAGTTATTTTAAGTGATTCTAAATTAAAGTTTGAACCAAATTAAAATTTAAAATGCACTTCCTAGAACTCCTTTAAATATAAAGCGAGGGACACTTATCAGAACTCATTTTTTTGTTGCAAACCAATCATATTCATGCAACACAGTCAGTCTGATTATTATTTAACAAATTATTTTTTCCAGCATATTTCATATAATGGAACACCGCAGAGGCACTGTTCTATTTTAACCACAAAATTTCATTCTACGAGTCCTATCCTACTCTATATCCCAAGACAGAATAAAGTTTGGCTGAATACCCTACATTTTGCTCCATAAAACTCCTTAGAAGGCCTCAACAAGTTTCAAATTCTCTTTTAACCTTCCACTATTGTCTTTTCACAAAATTAAATTGTCTTCAATTTGATAAAACGCCTAACATGATAAATATATACATATGTATACATCTAAAATTTTTTTTTTCATTTTTCTTGTTTAAAAATAATATATTAATAACTTAATAGATATATGCTCAAAACTAATCAAATATTGTTCTCTTTTCTTAAAATATGCATTCATGATAGGCTTAGCAGCTTTATAATATGCTAACACATCATGCTTCTATCTATATTGTATGAATGAGGAAATATTTTCATCCATCCAACAAAAATAAAAATATCAATTTAAATATAGTTCATAATTTGCCCTACTTGGATATGAGTTTGATTAGTCCAGTCACTCCTTCAAAATGACATATCAATCATTAATTTAATGCTAATCATCAATAAGCTATCCTTATCCAACCAAAATGTTCATTTGTTTTTTTCATTTATCTAACTACAACAATGTCATGATGGTTGTGGATAGATAAACGAAAAAAAGGGACAAAAAAGGTTAAAAACGTAGTTCATGTAAACTATATTAAGAATGAAAATCAAAAAGTAATTTTTTTAGATGAGGATATTCAAAATAGATGAGTGAAATTTTTTTGTAAACTTTTTAATAAAAATTTTGAAAATACGATCGACTTTAATGATGTCACTATCGTTAATAATAATTAAACTTTTTTATTTTTACCATCGCATCAGTAAAATAGAAGCTAAGGAGGCTTTAAAGAAAATGAAGTGTGAAAAATCAGTAAAATCTAATGATATTCCAATAAAAGTGTTGAAATATTGAGAAGATTAGGAAATTTCTTGCCTGATTAAAATTTTTAATATTATTTTAAAAACTAAAAAGATGTCTGACGAGAGGCTGAAAGAGTATTTTGGTTCCTATTCTTAAAGAAAAAGTGAATGCACAAAAGTGTACAAATTATAAAAGAATTAAGTTAATGTGTCATATATTAAAATTATGAGAGAGAGTAAATGAACATAGGTTAAGGCGCGATACATAGATTTGTCAAAATCAATTTGATGCCAACAAGTCTACTATGGAAGCTATATATTTATTGAGGGGTTTAATGGAAAAGTACAGAGAGAATAAGGAAGATTTATATATTATTTTTGTTGATTTAGAAAAATCCTATAATAAGGCTCCAACATAAGAACTTTTGAGAGTTCTGGAAAAGCGATGTGTTGATATATCGTGCATTCAAATCATTAAAAATATGTATATTTGAGTTGTTAATTGTGTTCGAACAAAAAAAGTATTGACCAAATTTTTTACAAATTCAGTTGATTTACACCAAGCCTTGACTTTATGTAATAACCCAAATTCTAAATAAAAATAATATTATTAATAATATAAATATTAATATAAATCAAATAGGCAAAATAGGATAAGTGTCTTCTCAGGTTGTCTTTAGGAGTTACATGCCATGTTTCAACAAATGGAAATAGAGAACAAGCATGCGAGAGAGAAAGTGGAGTGAGAGAGAGAGTGTGTAAGAGAAAGCAGATGAAGAAATACGGAGGAGGTTTTGAACCTTGTATGCGAAACTGAGAATGGCATTTTTGTGTGTGAGGGAAGAAGACAGGGAGTCTCACAGGCGATAAGAATCGTTGATTCGAGAAAGAGAGGCCAAAGTCGAAGTTGAAGCCGAAGGAAGGAGGCGGCTCGTGCAAGGAAGAAGAAGTCGTGTAAGTGCAGAGCGAGGAAACCGATGCAATAGGGTTTAGGGAAGCTCTACGGTTAGCGAAAGAGAAGAGGGATCGGGCGAACTAAAAATGAAGACTGTGGGTTCGAGCAGCTCTGGTGCGAAGGAAGAAGGAAGCAAGTCGTGCAGAAGGGACACTCTTTTCCGTGAGCGTAGAAAGGTGTGGCTGCATGCGACTATTGACATGGGGATGAGACACGCCAAGTCTAAGGTGAGTTGGGTAATTTTTTTTTTTATATATAAACAAAAGATATATTTTTTATTTAATTAGATTTTATTAGGTTATATAATATCTTATGAATTAATAGGAGAGATTAAATCTGGATAAGCAGTTGAATCAAAGGATTATAATGAGAAGGTTTTAGCAACACTGAATGTTGAGGTAAGGTTATGTGATTATACTTATATAAATTATTTTAATTTAAAAGTATTAATTAATGATTCCATGTTTAGTTATTTATAGATAATTTGGAAACAAAAATTTAGTATACTAACGTAATTATTAAAGAGAACAATGAATACAAATACATATATTAATAATAATAACAATAGTGATAATTAAAGAATAATTCGATCAACGGAAACTTGCTTCAATCTTAAAAGTTTGATATTATATTTTATAGGTTATTAATATCAACGTAATGGTTATCGCGAGGCCAATCTCTTACTGAAGATTGACAATTTATCATGACAACTGAGGAAAGTAATTGTGCTTTTAAATTAATATTTCTTATTTTTAAATATATCATTGCTTATTGTTTATCACTATTATGCCTTATGTCAATATACTTAAACTATATTTGATTCTTCAGATTGGTAGTCAAGAAATATGCATATTAACTGTTGTAGAAATATATGCATCATAGTTTTCCTAAGAAAAGGTTGTCGTATTATAATTTTTCTAAGATGTCACATTACTATATGACATGTAAATTACTATAGGAATATAAATCATTTATTTCATGACTTATAATTTTAGTAAGAGTGCAATATTCGTTAATAAATAAATGTAAAGTGTCTCATAAAAGAAAAATGTATGTTATGAAGAATGAAATAGCTTATATTAAAATGCTTGTATGTGCATGCTAAAAAGAGTCCAACCCCTTACGATACAAGTGAAGGATGTCAGTGTATCCGCACGTGTAGATGTTATACTACCACTCCAAATAATGGTGATATTTAGATTGTTAATCATTGTACCGACGAGAATATATCGATCGGGGGCAAGTAGGCACATTTCCACCTCAAACAATCATGTAAATTAAATCACGGATCACTGTGCCGACAAGATAATATCGGTCTGATGTGCGTTAGGTTATGTTTTAACTGTGCTCCTAAACTAGATCTAAATAAAAATAGCATAAAATAAAAGTAAAATTAAAGATTAAACATTGAAGAGTATAGTTAAAGTTAATGCACATAGAAATTTAAATTATTATAGGATCTCATAAAGTGAGAAATGAAAGACCAGCATGCATATTATTTTCCTTTTTTTGGGTTACTGTAGTTTAGAAGTGAGATTGCTTCTAATTTTTATTTAGAGAATTCATTATATTGTTTTAATTTTTTTAAAAACTTTTGATTAAGATAAATACTGGAGAAGATCATGTTTACAGATGGCATGGGTGGCAACTATTAGTGATAGAAATAGAATAATATAAAACTTAATATCACCGTCCGACGATCTATTCCCACCTTAGTTAATTCTAAGGTCAAGTCAGATCGTGACAATTTAAGCTCATACATTTTTGCTTTAGTTATGGATGCTCTACTGAACATTAAGAGAAGGTATCTTGTTGTATGTTTTTTGTTGATAATATCCTTATTATGGACAAGTCTAAAAAAGTTCAGGAAAAACTTGAATTATGGAGGTCAACTTTAGAGTTTAAATGATTCGTTTGAGTAGATCTAAAACTGAATACATGGAATGTAATTTTTAGGAGTAGATCTAACGACAGGGCTATAGCAATGGGTGATCAATTAATTAAAGGGACTGAAGGTTATAGATATTTCGAGCCTATTAATCAAAGTAATGGTGATGTAGATGAAGATGTTATTAGTAGAGGTCAAGTTGGATGGTTAAAGTGGAGGAATATATCGGGTCTATTGGGCAATAGAATTGTATCGCTTAGACTTAAAAGGAAAATTTTATAAGATGATGGTGAGATCTACAATGATTTAAGGCACAAAATGTTGGCTTATAGAAGAGAAGCATAAAACTAAGTGTTGCGGAGATCAGAATGCCTAGGTGGATGACTAGCTTTACACTTAGAGATAATGTGAAAATAATATATTCGTGAAAGTGTTGACCTCATTTTAGTGAGATCTTAGTCTTCTACTCTTAGAACCTAGGATCTAGCTTTAGGAGTTCTTATTGACAATCCTAGCGGACTAGCAATGGAGCCCACCTCCCGTAGAACTTCAAGCCACTTCTTGACTCATTTTTGTGAAGAACTCGCACGAGTGGTTCCAAGCACTCAACTTTTAGTTGCAAGGGCTAAGGACCAACATGTAGAGGGCCCGAAATTGAGTTCCTATAGGATCAACAGCCTTAGGTGAACCCTTTGTGACTCGATTACTCGCGAACGCCGCTTTTCACGCAATCACTGCACTACACACGATTTTGACTTGAATCGACTCACCCGTCGGCGAACTCGTCCGGATGACCCCGGATGACGAAACAGACCGCACCGATGCGTCCAGGATGTTGAATTTAGCTAGGAAGGACACCCATATTGTCAGGGTTACACGCACGCACAGTTTGCACGGAAATCGATGCATTTTTCTCCTTTAGCGGGATGCGGGCCCGGACTCAACCCAGGTTTGACTCGGGTTCGATTCAGGCTGGACTCGGGCTGAGCACGGGCTAGGCACCAGCTCACCTGAATTTGAAATTCAAATTTCAAAATTTAAAGAAATTATTTAAATTCTGCCTTAATTAAAATTAATTCAGGAGTTAATTATTTCCATTTAATCCTCCCTGAATTTGGAAATTAATTAATTCCCCGCCCAACGCAAGCTCAACGGTTATTTGGAATTCGAGGGATAGAAATCCCGCTCGGGCTCCTCCTTGGGGATTCGGCTCTCCCGTTCGCCTTCTCCCCCTCTCGGCCTCACGCACCCTTCTCGAGCTCGTTCGCCTCCTCCACCAATCGAAGCTCCCGAAACCCTCGCTCGAACATCTGATCCCCGCTCCTCTGCTCCTTCCTCTGCTGCTGTACGGACGAAGCCACTCGCCTCTCACTTCCGCGGTCTTTCTCTACCGATCCCGACTCCCTCGATCCCGATTCCTGCACTCGCCTCTTCCCTGCGTCGAAGGTCGAATATCCGGTCTCTTGCATCGAAGCCGCAGATCTGCTCGATCCCGTACGCCCCTTCTTCCTCTGCCTCTCCGAAGCCCCGACTCATCTTCCTTCGCTCGCCAACCCGAGGCTTCTCTGCTCGAGCTCGCTCTACAGGGAAAGACGAAGCTCCCGCTCCTGCGCAAACGACGCTGCTCGACTCGCCTCCCTGCCCGCACGATCGCTCCTGCTCATCTCCC